AGAAAGTCCCGATACTCATTCTCCTTAACAACTGCACAACTACTATGCTTCAATCGAGTGCCTGTTTTCTCGGGTATGCTACCACGACAATGATCTGACAAACCTACGCTAGCAAGGCGGGTGTCAACAAAATTAACATAATCTGATTGAAGGTTGAACTCGTGGCCCTGTCGATACATGCTACACAAGGGTATGACGTGGTCTTTGATACTTATGTTCCAACGATGGGGAAACAATGCAATATTTTCATCAATCATGGTGTACAGACCTAAGAGAATGTCTCCAGGAAAATGAATAATGTCAACAACTAAACATGTTATAGACAATGTGACATCATTGAACTTGAGTGGGAGGTCAATTTCACCCTGAACTTTTACTTTATTTCCTGAAATACCACTTAGAAAAGGTATGTGTGACTGTTTTAAAATAGTAGGGTGCATACTTTCAATGTCTCTAAGAGCTGAGGGCTTGACAATATTAATTTTTGCACCTGAGTCAAGAAAAACTTTTAAAACTCTACCATGTACAATGGCTGATACAAGGGGACCATCACTTGAGACTGGACAAGTTACTATTTTGACTTATGTTGTCTGGGATATCTGCGTCTTGTTTGTGTCAAATTTACTGTGGATCCGTCAACATCTACAACTGGTCTAGAGTCAGTGTCCTCCTCTGTCAAGTGTCCAAATCTATTTTGGGTAGCTACTGAATACACAGGGAGGGCACTAGGATTGGCTAGCTTGAATTGGTTAGCGGATGGCCTTGGGGGTTTCCCGACGACATGGAGTGAACATTCTGAGCTCCAGCATTCTGTGACTGAGCATTATAATTTGAAGTTGCATTATAGCTGGGCTGGGAGTTGTAATTACGAGAGTTCTGATAATGTCTTGGACGCTGTGAGCCTCGCCAAGACTGACCATGGGAGTTACGAGGTGGAGATGTCCTTTGCCTAGCTCTACAATCCGCAGTGTGGTGACCAACTTGTTTATGGTACGTGCAATATGGAAGCCTAGAATGATTAGATTGATGAGGGGGCCGAGAGAATTGTCTAGGAGGTGATGATCTAGGGGCGGACCAACAGTCCCTTGCAAGGTGGTTACTCTTACCACAATGCCAACATGAGGGAGTGGATGGTTGTGGACTATGGCGTTTCGGCATTTTATGAGGCGGCGAATTTGACTGGGGGCTACGAGCATGGGTACGCTTCTGCGACCAAGAGTTTTGAGAATTTGTGGGAGGATGCTGAGAGCTTGTAACTACATTTACAGCATCAGAGGGTGGCAACAGTTGAGCACTTCGGGGAGCTAGTTTATCTGCGGCATTGTTAATAGCCTCAAATACTTCACCAATTTCATGTTTAACACCAAAATTTTGTTGCTCAACGATTGGTTTTGTATGCTCGGGGGCAAAATGCATTAAAGTACCAAATGCTATCATTTTGGCCATAGCCTCAGGGGACAGATTATTGTCTTTATCTAACCAAGTTGAATTATTCATAGCAGAAACTAAGGCATACAGATACTGATCGAGACGGCTAGTAAACGCATTAAACGATTCACCAGGCTGCATGGTGGCATTGGCAATTTTCTTGACTAACCTATATGGGTCAAGGTCTCCTTTATTAACAAAGCGACGGCGAAAGAAATCCTTAAATTCAGGCCAAGACTGGAGGCTAACAATGGCTTTCTCATCAACAACAAAACGTGCATCACCTTTGGTTGTGTCCACGGCTGACCGTGCAATTGCTAAGTATTCGGCATCAGTAGGCTTAGAAAAACGTGCAACTGTTTTCGCTTCAACCTTACTAAACCATGATTCTAATAAACGCGATTCCCCAGCAAAAAGAGGAATAGCCATTTCCTGAGCTGATCTCTGGCCATTGGGACGAGCAACTGTTCCCATTGATTCTGAAGGGGTTTCAACAGTGGTAGGCATTGTCACAGCCGTGGAAGTAATATTTGAACGCAGATTATAATTAAGTGCACCTGGCATCAGAAATAGTATACACAAAAATAAACACAAAAAAATATCAACTTGGCTAAAGTAAAAATGGCAGAAATAAAATTATTAAATTGGGCTAGGCAAGAAAATAATTAAGAACAAGCAATTGTAAACTAAATTTAGCAATCTTTCATTAAAAAATGACTGGAATTAGATGTATGTAAATTAATTAAACCAGACTAAGCACAGCAATTTAGAATAAAAACTGGGAAATGCAATTGCAAAATTTCATTAAAAAGATTCAACACAACAAGTGGCAATGCAAGAAATATGGATGTAGCACATAAACTGGACACAGGAATGTATATAACTCCTATGGTAAAAGTTTAAATTAAAATGCTTAAAGGATAAATTTCAAGTTAGGTCTGGAGAAATATAAAAAAAAATTCTATGTTCTATTGTCTATGGAAATCTCAAAAACAAATTTCTTTTATGCAAAAATAAACTGCTAGAACAATTATTTCTTACTTCTCTCACCTTTGAATTCAGTAATGACACTAGTAACAATTAATGAATAATGGAATCATATGCAGGGAATATTGAAATGTCTCAGAGAAACTGTGGGCCTCTGGAGTACTAAACCGGCTCCAATATTTAACAAGTCACTGAATGGTTAATTCACAGGATATTATGGGAATTATTACATAAGTCACTTTTTAACACTTGGCACGTTGTTCTCAACTAGCAATTACTTATCTCAGGGTTGTAATTTATGAGGATCACCAGTAGCCAAAGTAGGAGAAGCGTCGTGAAGATCTGAAGAGGCCCATGTGAGGCGTGTTTACAAACTGGATGCGACGGCAGCGCTCCTGGCGGCGGTGGCGCGAGACTCAGGGACCCCACACTGTTCAGGCTAGAGGCACGAAGATAAATTCTGACGACGACAATATTGCGACGATGGAATAACCAGTTGATACTTGCGACGATGGCTGACGACGATTGCAGTAGCTTGCACCCTCACGAAGCTTGATACTGTCAGCTTGGGTGGCGGTGGTGGTGGTGGTGGGTGTAATAGGTGGTTCCCACGTGGTGGCGCGAGGTTCAAAAATGGCTGGCGCGGGAAGCTTCCTTCCTCCTCACTGATGAGTGAGCGTTCTCACAGGAAAATATTGACCCTTACTTCTAAAACGTTAGCCTGGAGTAGTGGTTGATGGCAGGACCCCGGTCTGGCACAATATTTGATGCGTGGGTGGCAGGATGGCGGCTTATGGCGGTGGCGGTGGCGGCGGTTTTGGCTGGAACACGAGGCGATGCTGGGTACTGGAACTTTTGCTTCCAGAAAAAAATTTCTGGATCCCACTGCTGCTACCAGTATTCGTTTGCCTTGTTCGGGTTGAATGTAGACACAGTAGTCGCTTCTGTATATATTTATTGAGTGAGGCAAACAGGTGTATAACTGGCCAGCCGAGGTCCACCTACTCTGGGTCTGTGAGGATAACTGAGGCTGCTGGGAGCATGCTTGATGCTCCTCTGTCTGGCATGACGTCAGAGGCCTACTTGCCTGTGATTGGTTACATTTCAACTGACAGAATTTGAGTATAACAGTGTGTGTGTGTGTGTGTGTGTGTGTGTGTGTGTGTGTGTGTGTTGTGTGTGTGTGTGTGTGTGTGTGTGTGTGTGTGTGTGTGTGTGTGTGTGTGTGTGTGTGTGTGTGTGTGTGTGTGTGTGTGTGTGTGTGTGTGTGTGTGTGTGTGTGTGTGTGTGTGTGTGTGTGTGTGTGTGTGTGTGTGTGTGTGTGTGTGTGTGTGTGTGTGTGTGTGTGGTGTGTGTGTGTATGCATGCGTGAATATTAAGACATTAGCAGCAGGCTTCGCTGCCGTATGTCGCGTAGATCGTACAGTACCAGCAAGTTGGTTGCTCTCAGACTAGTGTTCGGTTCTCCCATATAGGTGTTCGGTTCTCCCCCATAGGTGTTCGGTTCTCCCATATAGGTGTTCGGTTCTCCCACATAGGTGTTCGGTTCTCCCCCATAGGTGTTCGGTTCTCCCACATAGGTGTTCGGTTCTCCCACATAGGTGTTCGGTTCTCCCACATAGGCTACCTTATCTTGCGGTTACTTTGCGATGATTTCATGGCTCAACGTCCCCGCGGCCCAGTCCCCGACCAGGCCTCCTGGTTGCTGGACTGATCAACCAGGCTGTTGAGACGCGGCTGCTCGCAGCCTGACGTATGAATCAGAGCCTGGTTGATCAGGTATCCTTTGGAGGTGCTTATCCAGTTCTCTCTTGAAGACTGTGAGGGGTCGGCCAGTTATGCCCCTTATGTGTAGTGGAAGCGTGTTGAACAGTCTCGGGCCTCTGATGTTGATAGAGTTCTCTCTCAGAGAACCTGTTGCACCTCTGCTCTTCAACGGGGGTATTCTGCACATCCTGCCATGCCTTCTTGTCTCATGTGGTGTTATTTCTGTGTACAGGTTTGGGACCAGCCCCTCTACTATTTTCAACGTGCAAATTATTATATCTCTCCCGCCTGCGCTCAAGAGAATACAGATTTAGGCATTTTAGTCGGTCCCAATAGTTTAGATGTTTTACCGAGTGGATTCTAGCAGTAAAAAATCTCTGCACGCTCTCCAGGTCAGCAATTTCCCCAGCTTTGAATGGGAGATTAAAATGAACTTTGTTACATTTGCGTGTTTTTATACCCTGGATGTTGGCAAATATAAATGATGTTATCGTGTTAGTGGAAGTGCTGGATGCTTTACTTGGTGTTAATATCTGAGGCTTTGGTAGGGAGGCCACTGTGTTTGTGTCCTCTCCAGCATTTGACCGAGATGGTGGTAGAGTCTGGACATTTTTAGCCATTCTTCTCCTTTTCTTCTTTCTAAAAAATCATCCTGGTAATTAGAGTTGTGGCTGTTTTCATCGAGGCGGTCTGTCGGATTTATTCGCCTGGTACCTCTTATATGAAAAGCTAGATATTCCGTGTTGAAGCATTCTTCCTTATCTAAAGAGGCTTTGTAAAGTTCTGGGTGAAAAAATCACAGCTTTTGGTACATTTACCTGTTTTAAGAAGGTTTCTGCAGTTTCTAGGGTGAGCGTGTTCACATACTCCATTTGTTCTTCCCGATATCCCATGTTTACAAGTACCCCATTTATGATATCGACAGGTTTTGGGTCCTTGTTTTGGTTTTTCTTCTTTGCTTGACCCGACTTCTTTGGACGACCCCGGCACTGTGCTCTGCTCTGGGGCCGCTGACACCGAGCTCTGCGCCGCGTCTGATCGTACCTGGGTTTCATGGACAGTTTGTTTGAAGACATTTGAAATTGCTATGCAGGTATATAGTAGTGATTCTCAGTTTTCAGCAGGAGTTTTATCCAGGATTTCGATCATCTTCAAGAAAGTTACATTATTATTGTATTAGTAGACCCTGGCGCAGAGACTGCGCTCGGCTTTGAGTCTGATTGATTCTACCTGAGTGTCATACAGTTTGTTGGAAAACATTCGAAATTTCTATGTAGTCATTTAAAAGTGATTGATGTGTCAGGATGGATTATGGTAAGTAAATTAACATAAGCCATCCATCCTTACCCTATGTGACGTAACGTCAACTAACCTCAACTCACCTCACACCACTTCATCTCATCATCTCACCTGCTTGATAGAGTTCTGGGAGTTGTTCTACTCCCCAAGCCCGTCCCGAGGCCAAACTTGACTTGTGAGAGTTTGGTCCACTAGGCTGTAGCTTGGAGCGGCCCGCAGGCCCACATACCCACCACAGCCCGGTTGGTCCGGCACTTCTTTTAGAAAACTATCAAGTTTTCTCTTGAAGATGTCAACGGTTGTTCCGGCAATATTTCTTATACTAGTTGGGAGGATGTTAAACAACCGCGGACCTCTGATGTTTATACAGTGTTCTCTGATTGTGCCTATGGCACCCCTGCTCTTCACTTGTCCTATTCTGCCTTTTCTTCCATATCGTTCACTCCAGTATGTTGTTATTTACTGTGTAGGTTTGGGACCTGGCCCTCCAGTATTTTGCATGTGTATATTATTTGATATCTCTCTCGTCTCCTTTCTAGAGAGTACATTTGGAGATACCAATGATGATACTTTTCAAGCCGCTAGTGCTCTCTAGAGTGGAATACTGTTGAACAATGACAGCCTCTTTCAAAGCTGGAGAAATTACTGACCTGGGGAGCGTGCAGAGAACCTTTACTGCTAGAATCCACTCAGTAAAATACCTACACTATTGGGACCGACTAAAGAGCCTAAATCTGTATTCTCTTGAGCGCAGGTGGGAGATACATAATAATTTACGTGTGGAAAATATTAGCCGAGGGGCTGGTCCCAAACCTGCACACAGAAATAACACCACATGAGACCAGAAGGCATGGCAGGATGTGCAGAATACCTCCATTGAAAAGCAGAGGTGCAGTAGGTTCTCTTGAGAGAGAACTCTCAGAGGTCACGTCAACATCAGAGGCCCGAGACTGTTCAACACGCTTCCACTACACATAAGGGGCATAACTGGCCGACCCCTCACAGTGTTCAAGAGAGAACTGGATAAGCACCTCCAAAAGATACCTGATCAACCAGGCTGTGATTCATACATCAGGCTGCAAACAGCCTGATTAACCAGTCCAGCAATGAGGAAGCCTGGTTGGTGACCCAGGCCACGAGGACACTAAGCCCTGGAAACACTTCAAGGTAACCCAGCATAATCTTAGTATAATCTCACCATACTCGACCCAGTATACATTATAGTTTTCTTGGCACTCTTTCAAAGGTTTTGATGTGTGACATTAGAACTATTGGTCTATAATTTTGGGAATTGAAAGGGAAGAGATTAAAGATGGTGTTAGTGACACATGGACACTAAGACTAGTCTCCGCTTGTTCACGGGGAAGATTACTGTTACTCTTGATCTGCTGTTGGCTCTTTGTTAAGTTTAAGAGCTGCTCTTGAAGTGCCGAGTCCAAGAGCTCACGTGTGTAGTGTATCACCACTGTATCATCAGCTAAGTTTTGTTTTTATTACATTGTATTTTCTACCACTGACGTGGCCTCACATTTACAATGCTAACCAGCATATATACATTTTCTTCTGTCCTCCATGGACAGGGTGAGAGAGATCTGTTAAACATTTAGTTCAGTGATTTGTTGAACACTCGTCCACAGAAGGGGATCTATCTTGAGGTTATCTTGAGATGATTTCGGGGCTTTAGTGTCCCCGCGGCCCGGTCCTCGACCAGGCCTCCACCCCCAGGAAGCATCCCGTGACAGCTGACTAACACCCAGGTACCTATTTTACTGCTGGGTAACAGGGGCATAGGGTGAAAGAAACTCTGCCCATTGTTACTCGCCGGCGCCCGGGATCGAACCCGGGACCACAGGATCACAAGTCCAGCGTGCTGTCCGCTCGGCCGACCGGCCCCCAGCTTTGTAGTGCTTTTTAAAGTACTCATCTTCCCTACATAAATAAATACATGATTCATGGATTTGTATATCAGCTAAGTGCTCTGAGCCATTGTTCAGTTCACCGAGCAGGTGTGGCTCTGGGCCACATGTGTCAGTCGTGGCTACCACCCTGCTATATCACCGAGGAACCTGGCAGGTGTATACCACATGCAGACCTGGTGTTTCAGGTGTATACCACATGCAGACCTGGTGTTTCAGGTGTATACCACATGCAGACCTGGTGTTTCAGGTGTATACCACATGCAGTCCTGGTGTTTCAGGTGTATACATATGTAGTCCTGGTGTTTCAGGTGTATACCACATGCAGACCTGGTGTTTCAGGTGTATACCACATGCAGACCTGGTGTTTCAGGTGTATACCACATGCAGACCTGGTGTTTCAGGTGTATACCACATGCAGCCCTGGTGTTTCAGGTGTATACCACATGCAGGCCTGGTGTTTCAGGTGTATACCACATGCAGGCCTGGTGTTTCAGGTGTATACCACATGCAGGCCTGGTGTTTCAGGTGTATACCACATGCAGACCTGGTGTTTCAGGTGTATACCACATGCAGGCCTGGTGTTTCAGGTGTATACCACATGCAGACCTGGTGTTTCAGGTGTTTAAGTGAGAGGAAGAGGCCGCCACCCTTACATTAAGCAAATCTGCTGTGCTTATCTGTGTCAGCGTATTCCATGAGGCCACAGCCAGCCCCAACTGTTCGATGGTGTGAACGGGAGGGAATGACTGAAGGCTGGCCACAACTGCGTGCGTACAGTGCCTCTTCCATTAAGTGTTGCCTGGTGTTGATCTGATTGATCGACCGTTCCATCAAGTACATTTACGTGTACAGGTTGTCCGGGGGGGGGGGGGGGGCGTGTAGAGCGATCGACGCGACTGTACACATCTGTCAGTCTTGGTGCAACCCGTTCTCGCACTTTCGTATAGTCAATATTGACTTATTAAATACGTGCATATGTGACATACTAAACATACTAGTTTACCTTGAAAAGCTTCATAGAAAACACCGACCTTACCTAACCTTCTTAGTACGTTAAGATAAGCATCTTATTGCTTCGTAATTACAATTATTACTTAACTTATTATAGGTATAGGTTAAGTAATAATTGTAATTACGAAGCAATAAGATGCTTATCTTAACATACTAAGAAGGTTAGGTAAGGTCGGTGTTTTCTATGAAGCTTTTCAAGGTAAAGTAGTATGTTTAGTATGTCACATATGCACGTATTTAATAAGTCAATATTGACTGTAAGAAAGTGCGAGAACGGGTTGACTGGTGGCGATGTTCAGACATGTGTTCAGGAGTAAGAGGAGTAAAGAGGAGTAGCCTAACGCCACACACATTTATGATCCGGAGTAATTTGTTATTATTTGTCTCTGTGACTTTGATCATTTGAGAGACTGTTGGAGTCTCGGTAACTCGTAATTATCTTAACATTAATTATTCTTGTCTTAGTGACTTGTGTGTGTTGTTCAGCGGCTAAGTTATGGTCTTAGTGGCCAGTGTTGATAACATTGGTTATTATTGTCGCGGTGACTTTTGATTATTTCATTGTTATTAATGAGTTAGTGATGTGCAGTTTACACAGTAAAATAAAAGCATACTAGAGTGACTGATATGGAAGGAAATGCAAATTAGAACGAGTGAGGAGTAGGCGAACCATAGGCACAATCAGAGAACACTGAACATCAGACGTCCACAGCTGTTCAACACCCTTCCAGCAAGCGTAAGAAATATTGCCGAAAGAAAAGTGGAAATTTTGAAGGAAAAAACGCACAGTTTCCTCCAAGGAGTGCGGGACCAACCGGGCTGTGGTGGGTATGTGGGCCTGCGGGCCGCTCCAAGCAACAGCCTGGTGGACCAAGCTCTCTCAAGTCAAGGCCTCGGGGAACAGAATAACTCCAAGAAATCCATTCAAGTATTGATCATGTTATGATTCTTACACCAGTAAGATTGGATTTGTAACTCCGATCGTGTCCCTTGTTACTGCCAGTGTCGTATACAGCTGATCTCAGAGTGTTCACAAGTGTTGAGTGTGTTCAGGTTGTTCCATCAAGAGGGCCAAGATTCTGTGTCTTGGCATACTAGCGCCGTGGTCACATTAACCCCAATTGTTCATATGCGTTTGTTTACTCTCTTGTAAGTCATTTCTTCCCTCCAAGACGCTATCACTTCGTTCCTCCAAGACTCCGTTATCTCCCCACCCAAGACTCTGTTATCTCCTCGCCCAAGACTGTTATCTCCTCGCCCAAGACTACTCGGTATCCCACCTTCTTGACGCCCAACTCATGTACTCGTGTTTGATGGCTCAATAAGAGCTTCTGGGAACTTTTCCCCCTATATAGTTGCGCTTGTGTTGGGTGGGCTCTGTTGTGGTGGTCGAGTAATCTTGTTTCATCTGTCGGGTTTATTGTCCACTATGCTGACAAAAGCCTCTTTTGTATCACTGTTTGAATGGCAGTTTGGCGCAACAAATGCTGTTTTTTATTGGGGGTGGTGTAAGTTTTTTTAATATTGACTGCAATGTTTTGTGTGTGTTCGTGTATCGCTCTCTCAATATTGATACATTGCCTGATGGTTGACTATTACACTGTTTGGGGACTTGGCAGTTGTCACAATATGTGTGTATATATGTGTGAAGAAATGTGTACTTCCTACTCAGAGAACCTGATCTCTGAATAGGTGCCATGGGCACAGAGATAACTGTGTGAACATCAGGGGTCTTCAGCTGTTCAATACTCTCCCAGCAAGCATTAGAAATATTGCCAGAACAAAGGTAGACTTCTTCAAGAACCAATTAGATAAGTTCTTGCAAGAAGTGCCGGACCAACCAGGCTGTCGTGGATATGTGGGCCTGCGGGCCGCTCCAAACAACAGCCTGTTAGACCAAGTTATCACTAGTCGAGCCTCGTCACAGGCTCGGGGAGTAGAACTCTAGAGACCTTCTGGAGGTAAGATCAGGCAAGTTCCAAAGGGAACTGGTAGGGATCTGGTCGATATAAACTGCATGTGCCAGGATGCTTTAGAACTATGTATGCATAGGAATGGATCAGATTATGTTTACATGCACTTTGAGACAGTGAAGTGCTTTGTATCGTAAAGTGAAGCCTAGTACTGTTGAATGGTAATTATTATTGTTGAATGTTTTGGGATTTTGATAATAATTAACTACTAAGCTTCTTGATTCGTTGTAAGTTGCGTTTGAATGTTTAAGTAACATTATATCAATTGAGTAAAGTAACATTGGTTTATTGAAGGTCGAGAGTAACCGTTGGCTTTCAAATTAAGAGAGGCTAGCAGAGGCAAGCTACCATTTCTATTGTACATCTTTTCTCAGTAAATGTTTTATTAATTTTAAACGCTGTGTTTCCATTGGTCTTCATTCCAACTTATGTTCCGTCTGACCTACATGTGCAAGCCTGAGTAATAATATATCAGCCACTGAGTGAGAACGACAAATTTGGAGAGATTGTGGAGCGTAACCTCATACTTAAGAGAGCTACTGCGGAGTACGGAACACTGAGGTCTTCTCCTTCGGCACTGGGCGTAGGTCATTACTCCTGGTCACCCTGTTACTGAAGTAACAGGGTGACTAGGATCGTCACATATGAGGGGGGCCTCGTAGCCTGGTGGATAGCGCGCAGGATTCGTAATTCTGTGGCGCGGGTTCGATTCCCGCACGAGGCAGAAACAAATGGGCAAAGTTTCTTTCACCCTGAATGCCCCTGTTACCTAGCAGTAAATAGGTACCTGGGAGTTAGTCAGCTGTCACGGGTTGCTTCCTGGGGGTGGAGGCCTGGTCGAGGACCGGGCCGCGGGGACACTAAAGCCCCGAAATCATCTCAACATAACCTCAAGATATACTCACCTTGACGCCTCACACACACTATCTCCCACCCTATGGTGACGGTGTGCTGGCCTAGTGCGTCCTCAGGGGAGTGGCTGAGTCCCCAAGTGTTAACTATTATTATTATTAACATCTTTATTGACAAAATGGAATTACAATTTTGCCTAATGTACAGCCACTATTACGCGTAGCGTTTCGGGCAGATCCCTGGAATACGAGCCCCGCCGCGCAGAATCGTTTTTACAACCAAGTACTCATTTTACTGTTGAGTTAAACAGAGGCTACAGTTAAGGATTTGCGCCCAGTAAATCCTCCCCGGCCAGGATACGAACCCATGACAAAGCGCTCGCGGAACGCCAGGCGAGTGTCTTACCACTACACCACGGAGACTGCATTACCCGCAGTCATGGTCTGGTTTAGACAATAGGTCTAAACTGTAGGCTGAAGCACACACACACACACACATATATATATATATATATATATATATATATATATATATATATATATATATATATATATATATATATATATATATATATCATGGTTACAATCAACGTTTTAATGTACGAATATGTAAATACAACTTTCTGTTGAGCACTGCCACACAAGGCCAGGGACGGGTTCGTAAGAGATGCAGCTTATAAATAATATAAATAAAATTGTTCTTCATGCTTTAAAATGGACAAGCAAATTTTAAATAAATTGTTAGGATGTCGTCCAATACACCAGATTCAATGAAATAGGACTGGGGCACATGGGGTTAAGTGCTGACTGTAGTACGAGGGTAGAGACGTGTTTTTTTTTTAATTAACAAATTTAGGTACATCCGCATTTGTGCAGCTACCCTACACTATATGAAAAGGAGTACAGTCTGTCCAAAAAGCTAGCTACGTGATACTAAAAGTCCCCATCTCGTAGGATGGTTAGGCATACAGGGCCATAAATATGTTCAGTAGTCTGCACTGGCAAATTTTGGGTGCAATATGAGGATATCTTCAAGAACACGAGAGTGAATAAAGTAATTGCAAAGCTCCAGGTACCTCATGCCAACGGGTCTGAAAGGTCTGATAACTGGGCATTCGGTGATGCAGTGTGGGAGATCATGCCGCAGTTCCTGCTCACAGAGTTTACACCTGGAGTGCTCAGGATTGGGAGATCCGTCACCTGTAGCCATCTGCCACAGGTAACGGTAACCCAACCTGATCCTGGGAACCACTGTGTCGCACAGTCTGGTGGACGTTTTGTGCTGCCCATAAATATAGGTTTCAGATCTGAACAAATCATAACTTTTTATTCTTGTGCTTTCAAGTCGTTGGGAGTTAGTAATTTCTTTCCTATCAGGCCTGAGTGTTTGGACCAATATAGTTTTGACAGCAGAGATGGGGATACCTAGATCTAATTCTACTTCGTATTTGTTACACGCTAATTTGGCTGCAATGTCTGTCTCATTGTGATAGGTTATATTTATGTATGTATTGACGAGTGCAGGTAAGAGAAAAAAGGTTCTTTTTGTGCTGAGCCTCGTCACAATGGAAGTGGGGCGGTGTAGAGAGCGGTGACAAAGTGCCTTTATGCGTCTCTCTCAGCAAGGTACTGTTCCTCTTCTCCCCCCGTAACAATATACACTGTAAAGTGGACAGGTGACTGACGCGGCTGTAGCTGCCCCCCTGGGGGTGAGGGGGGGGGGGGGAGACGCAGGTGTTGGGTGTCAGGAGAGGCAGCGGCCCCACATGCGGGTCTATCTACCTTGTGACTACTGTCTGCTGGTTCCAGGGATCAATGTCTCCGTGGGCCCATGATTGGTTCCGTAACCTACTCAAGTGTTTACGAACTTGTTCTTGTGATAACTTGGTCCAGCAGGCTGTTGATTGGATCGGCCCGCCGGCCCACATATAAACTTCAGCCTGGTTGGTCTGGCACTTCTTGCAAGAATTTACCTAAGTGCCTCTTGAATACATCAACCTTTGTTCCGGCAATATTTCTAATGCTTGGTGGGAGGGTGTTGAACAGCTGTGGACCCCTGATGTTCAGATTGTGATTTCCGATTGTGCCTATGGCACCTCTACTCTTCACTGGTTCTATTCTGCATTTCTTTCCGTATCTTTCGTTCAATTATGTTGTTCTACTGTGCAAATCTGGGACCTGACCTTCCAGTATCTTCCTTGTATATATTATTTGATACCTTTCTCGTCTCCTTTCCAGAGAGTACATTTTGAGAGATTTGAGACGGTCTCGGTAATTGAGATGGTTTATAGTTTCTATGCGTGCCGTATGTGTTCTCTGTATTCCCTCTAATTCACAGATCTCACCCGCTCTGAAAGGGGAAGTGAGTACCGAGCAGTACTCAAGACGGGACAACAACAGTGATTTAAATAGTATTACCATTGCTGTGGGTCTCTGGATTTGAACGTTCTCATAATCCATCCTATCATTTTCCTGGCCGCCGCTATATTTGCTCGGTTATGTTAGCTAAATGTCAGGTCGTCAGACATTATAATTCCCAGATCTTTTACATGTTGCTTTCTTATATGAGTTGGTCTGATTGTGTCCTGTACCCTGTGTTTCATTTAAGTTTTTTTAATCCGTTTTCATTCATAAACAGGTTTGGCGGTTGTATGGGATGGATTTTAGCCTTTATTTATGAGGACAGGCTGAACAGTTATTAAACAGTTTATGAGCTCCGAAGCACTAGGAGGCTGTTTGTAACAATAATAACTTAACTGGGAAGTGTAGACGCTCTTAACTCTTTAAAAATGTAAACAAAGCCGCTAAAGCTTGATTAAAGATTTACAGGTTATTAAATACGTGTGTAAATCCTTGTTGAAATCCTGGCCCTGGCCGATCAGGCTGTTAGATGCCGCAGCTCGCTGTCTAATTCAGAGGCCACTGAGGCGGTAATCCTGGACCACAGCACGGGTGCTTCTTCCTGTTCTTAACGTAAAAAGTTTTCTTGATTTCTGGTGATGATTTCTAGCTTGGGTACGCGATTGTGGAGATTTTTAAAATATGGCCGCCAATATGGCCGCCAATATGGCCGCCAATACGGCCGCCAATATGGCCGCCAATATGGCCGCCAATATGGCCGCCAATATGGCCGCCAATACGGCCGCCAATATGGCCGCCAATACGGCCGCCAATATGGCCGCCAATACGGCCGCCAATATGGCCGCCAATATGGCCGCCAATACGGCCGCCAATATGGCCGCCAATATGGCCGCCAATATGGCCGCCAATACGGCCGCCAATATGGCCGCCAATACGGCCGCCAATATGGCCGCCAATACGGCCGCCAATATGGCCGCCAATACGGCCGCCAATATGGCCGCCAATATGGCCGCCAATATGGCCGCCAATATGGCCGCCAATACGGCCGCCAATATGGCCGCCAATATGGCCGCCAATATGGCCGCCAATATGGCCGCCAATATGGCCGCCAATACGGCCGCCAATATGGCCGCCAATATGGCCGCCAATATGGCCGCCAATATGGCCGCCAATATGGCCGCCAATATGGCCGCCAATACGGCCGCCAATATGGCCGCCAATATGGCCGCCAATATGGCCGCCAATATGGCCGCCAATATGGCCGCCACCTATATTGATAATATTGGTGATAATATTGGTATCTAGTATATTTCCACTAGTATCGGGAATGGTTTATATTTAGGAACCGGAAATATAGCTGAACACCTCAGAGGACCACACTAGCTGAACACCTCAGAGGACCACACTAGCTGAACACCTCAGAGGACCACACTAGCTGAACACCTCTGAGGACCACACTAGCTGAACACCTCTGAGGACCACACTAGCTGAACACCTCAGAGGACCACACTAGCTGAACACCTCAGAGGACTACACTAGCTGAACACCTCTGAGGACCACACTAGCTGAACACCTCAGAGGACTACACTAGCTGAACACCTCTGAGGACCACACTAGCTGAACACCTCAGAGGACTACACTAGCTGAACACCTCTGAGGACCACACTAGCTGAACACCTCAGAGGACTACACTAGCTGAACACCTCTGAGGACCACACGAGCTGAACACCTCAGAGGACTACACTAGCTGAACACCTCTGAGGACCACACGAGCTGAACACCTCAGAGGACTACACTAGCTGAACACCTCTGAGGACCACACGAGCTGAACACCTCAGAGGACTACACTAGCTGAACACCTCTGAGGACCACACTAGCTGAACACCCCAGAGGACCACACTAGCTGAACACCCCAGAGGACCACACTAGCTGAACACCTCAGAGGACCACACTAGCTGACCACCCCAGAGGACCACACTAGCTGAACACCCCAGAGGACCACACTAGCTGAACACCTCAGAGGACCACACGAGCTGAACACCTCAGAGGACCACACTAGCTGAACACCTCAGAGGACCACACTAGCTGAACACCTCAGAGGACCACACTAGCTGAACACCTCAGAGGACCACACTAGCTGAACACCCCAGAGGACCACACTAGCTGAACACCCCAGAGGACCACACTAGCTGAACACCTCAGAGGACCACACGAGCTGAACACCTCAGAGGACCACACTAGCTGAACACCTCAGAGGACCACACTAGCTGAACACCTCAGAGGACCACACTAGCTGAACACCCCAGAGGACCACACTAGCTGAACGCCCCAGAGGACCACACTTGCTGAACACCCCAGAGGACCACACTAGCTGAACACCTCTGAGGACCACACTAGCTGAACACCCCAGAGGACCACACTAGCTGAACACCTCTGAGGACCACACTAGCTGAACACCTCAGAGGACCACACTAGCTGAACACCCCAGAGGACCACACTAGCTGAACACCTCTGAGGACCACACTAGCTGAACACCTCAGAGGACCACACTAGCTGAACACCCCAGAGGACCACATGAGCTGAACACCTCTGAGGACCACACTAGCTGAACACCTCTGAGGACCACACGAGCTGAACACCCCAGAGGACCACATGAGCTGAACACCTCTGAGGACCACACTAGCTGAACACCTCAGAGGACCACACTAGCTGAACACCCCAGAGGACCACACTAGCTGAACACCTCAGAGGACCACACTAGCTGAACACCCCAGAGGACTACACTAGCTGAACACCTCAGAGGACCACACGAGCTGAACACCTCAGAGGACCACACTAGCTGAACACCTCAGAGGACCACACTAGCTGAACACCTCAGAGGACCACACTAGCTGAACACCCCAGAGGACCACACTAGCTGAACACCTCTGAGGACCACACTAGCTGAACACCTCTGAGGACTACACTAGCTGAACACCCCAGAGGACCGTGTACTCACCACACCACAATGTACTCACCACGCCACAGTGTACTCACCACACCACAGTGTACTCACCACGCCACAGTGTACTCAGCACACCACAATGTACTCACCCCGCCACAGTGTACTCACCACACCACAGTGTACTCACCACACCACAGTGTACTCACCACACCACAGTGTACTCACCACGCCACAGTGTACTCACCACACCACAATGTACTCACCACGCCACAGTGTACTCACCACACCACAGTGTACTCACCACACCACAGTGTACTCACCACACCACAGTGTACTCACCACGCCACAGTGGACTCACCACGCCACAGTGTACTCACCACACCACAGTGTACTCACCACGCCACAGTGTACTCACCACACCACAGTGTACTCACCACGCCACAGTGTACTCACCACGCCACAGTGTACTCACCACACCACAGTGTACTCACCACACCACACTGTACTCACCACGCCACAGTGTACTCACCACACCACTGTGTACTTACCACACTACTGTGTACTCACCACACCTCAGTGTACTCAGCACACCACAGTGTACTCACCACACCACAGTGTACTCACCACACCACAGTGTACTCACCACGCCACAGTGTACTCACCACGCCACTGTGTACTCACCACACCACTGTGTACTCACCACACCACAGTGTACTCACCACGCCACAGTGTACTCACCACGCCACAGTGTACTCACCACACCACAGTGTACTCACCACACCACAGTGTACTCACCACGCCACAGTGTACTCACCACACCACAGTGTACTCACCACACAGTGTACTCACCACACCACAGTGTACTCACCACGCCACAGTGTACTCACCACACCACAGTGTACTCACCACACAGTGTACTTACCACACCACCGTGTACTCACCACGCCACCGTGTACTCACCACGCCACTGTGTACTCACCACACAGTGTACTCACCACGCCACAGTGTACTCACCACGCCACTGTGTACTCACCACGCCACAGTGTACTCACCACACCACAGTGTACTCACCACGCCACAGTGTACTCACCACACCACCGTGTACTCACCACGCCACAGTGTACTCACCACGCCACAGTGTACTCACCACGCCACAGTGTACTCACCACACCACAGTGTACTCACCACACCACCGTGTACTCACCACGCCACAGTGTACTCACCACGCCACAGTGTACTCACCACACCACAGTGTACTCACCACGCCACAGTGTACTCACCACACCACAGTGTACTCACCACACCACCGTGTACTCACCACGCCACAGTGTACTCACCACGCCACAGTGTACTCACCACACCACAGTGTACTCACCACGCCACAGTGTACTCACCACGCCACAGTGTACTCACCACACCACCGTGTACTCACCACGCCACAGTGTACTCACCACGCCACAGTGTACTCACCACGCCACAGTGTACTCACCACGCCACAGTGTACTCACCACGCCACAGTGTACTCACCACGCCACAGTGTACTCACCACACCACAGTGTACTCACCACGCCACAGTGTACTCACCACGCCACAGTGTACTCACCACACCACAGTGTACTCACCACGCCACAGTGTACTCACCACGTCACAGTGTACTCACCACGCCACAGTGTACTCACCACGCCACAGTGTACTCACCACGCCACAATGTACTCACCACGCCACAGTGTACTCACCACGCCACAGTGTACTCACCACACCACCGTGTACTCACCACGCCACAGTGTACTCACCACGCCACAGTGTACTCACCACGCCACAGTGTACTCACCACGCCACAGTGTACTCACCACGCCACAGTGTACTCACCACGCCACAGTGTACTCACCACACAGTGTACTCACCACACCACCGTGTACTCACCACACCACAGTGTACTCACCACACAGTGTACTCACCACACCACAGTGTACTCACCACACCACCGTGTACTCACCACACCACAGTGTACTCACCACACAGTGTACTCACCACACCACAGTGTACTCACCACACCACAGTGTACTCACCACACCACTGTGTACTCACCACACCGTGTACTCACCACGCCACAGTGTACTCACCACACCACAGTGTACTCACCACACAGTGTACTCACCACGCCACAGTGTACTCACCACACCACAGTGTACTCACCACACCACAGTGTACTCACCACACCACAGTGTACTCACCACGCCCTGTGTACTCACCACGCCACAATGTACTGACCACACCACCGTGTACTCACCACACCACCGTGTACTCACCACACCACCGTGTACTCACCACGCCACAGTGTACTCACCACACCACCGTGTACTCACCACGCCACAGTGTACTCACCACACCACCGTGTACTCACCACACCACCGTGTACTCACCACACCACAGTGTACTCACCACGCCACAGTGTACTCACCACGCCACAGTGTACTCACCACACCACAGTGTACTCACCACGCCACAGTGTACTCACCACGCCACAGTGTACTCACCACGCCACAGTGTACTCACCACGCCACAGTGTACTCACCACGCCACAATGTACTCACCACGCCACAGTGTACTCACCACGCCACAGTGTACTCACCACACCACCGTGTACTCACCACGCCACAGTGTACTCACCACGCCACATACTCCGCACCACGCCACAGTGTACTCACCACGCCACAGTGTACTCACCACGCCACAGTGTACTCACCACGCCACAGTGTACTCACCACACAGTGTACTCACCACACCACCGTGTACTCACCACACCACAGTGTACTGACCACACAGTGTACTCACCACACCACAGTGTACTCACCACACCACCGTGTACTCACCACACCACAGTGTACTCACCACACAGTGTACTCACCACACCACAGTGTACTCACCACGCCACAGTGTACTCACCACACCACAGTGTACTCACCACACCGTGTACTCACCACGCCACAGTGTACTCACCACACCACAGTGTACTCACCACACAGTGTACTCACCACGCCACAGTGTACTCACCACACCACAGTGTACTCACCACACCACAGTGTACTCACCACACCACAGTGTACTCACCACGCCCTGTGTACTCACCACGCCACAGTGTACTGACCACACCACCGTGTACTCACCACACCACCGTGTACTCACCACACCACCGTGTACTCACCACGCCACAGTGTACTCACCACACCACCGTGTACTCACCACGCCACAGTGTACTCACCACACCACCGTGTACTCACCACACCACCGTGTACTCACCACACCACAGTGTACTCACCACGCCACAGTGTACTCACCACGCCACAGTGTACTCACCACACCACAGTGTACTCACCACACCACAGTGTACTCACCACACCACAGTGTACTCACCACGCCACAGTGTACTCACCACGCCACAGTGTACTCACCACACCACAGTGTACTCACCACACCACAGTGTACTCACCACACAGTGTACTCACCACACCACCGTGTACTCACCACACCACAGTGTACTCACCACACAGTGTACTCACCACACAGTGTACTCACCACACCACAGTGTACTCACCACACCACAGTGTACTCACCACACCACAGTGTACTCACCACACCACAGTGTACTCACCACGCCACAGTGTACTCACCACACCACTGTGTACTCACCACACCACAGTGTACTCACCACACCACAGTGTACTCACCACGCCACAGTGTACTCACCACACCACTGTGTACTCACCACACCACAGTGTACTCACCACACCACAGTGTACTCACCACACCACAGTGTACTCACCACACCACAGTGTACTCACCACACCACAGTGTACTCACCACACCACAGTGTACTCACCACGCCACAGTGTACTCACCACACCACCGTGTACTCACCACGCCACAGTGTACTCACCACACCACAGTGTACTCACCACACAGTGTACTCACCACACCACAGTGTACTCACCACACAGTGTACTCACCACACCACCGTGTACTCACCACACCACAGTGTACTCACCACACCACAGTGTACTCACCACGCCACAGTGTACTCACCACACCACAGTGTACTCACCACACCACCGTGTACTCACCACACCACAGTGTACTCACCACACAGTGTACTCACCACACCACAGTGTACTCACCACACCACAGTGTACTCACCACGCCACAGTGTACTCACCACGCCACTGTGTACTCACCACGCCACAGTGTACTCACCACACCACCGTGTACTCACCACACCACAGTGTACTCACCACACCACAGTGTACTCACCACGCCACAGTGTACTCACCACGCCACTGTGTACTCACCACGCCACAGTGTACTCACCACACCACAGTGTACTCACCACGCCACAGTGTACTCACCACACCACTGTGTACTCACCACACCACAGTGTACTCACCACGCCACAGTGTACTCACCACGCCACTGTGTACTCACCACGCCACTGTGTACTCACCACGCCACCGTGTACTCACCACACCACAGTGTACTCACCACACCACAGTGTACTCACCACACCACAGTGTACTCACCACACCACAGTGTACTCACCACGCCACTGTGTACTCACCACGCCACTGTGTACTCACCACGCCACCGTGTACTCACCACACCACAGTGTACTCACCACACCACAGTGTACTCACCACACCACAGTGTACTCACCACACCACAGTGTACTCACCACACCACAGTGTACTCACTGATAGTGTAGTGAGGTTTGTTTTTAACATAATTTTAGATTATATAAAATGCTGTTGTGTGGTGTTTATTTCGGGGACATTTTTTTTAGTATGAATGTAACGTTGACTTTTTTTTATACAGGTAAGCTGGGGTGGTGGTCGACAAGCTGGGGTGGTGGTCGACAGGTAAGCTGGGATGGTGGTCGACAGGTAAGCTGGGGGTGGTGGTCGACAGGTAAGCTGGGATGGTGGTCGACAGGTAAGCTGGGATGGTGGTCGACAGGTAAGCTGGGGGTGGTGGTCGACAGGTAAGCTGGGATGGTGGTCGACAGGTAAGCTGGGGTGGTGGTCGACAGGTAAGCTGGGGTGGTGGTCGACAAGCTGGGGTGGTGGTCGACAGGTAAGCTGGGATGGTGGTCGACAGGTAAGCTAGGGTGGTGGTCGACAAGCTGGGGTGGTGGTCGACAGGTAAGCTGGGTTGGTGGTCGACAGGTAAGCTGGGGTGGTGGTCGACAGGTAAGCTGGGGTGGTGGTCGACAGGTAAGCTGGGGGTGGTGGTCGACAGGTAAGCTGGGATGGTGGTCGACAGGTAAGCTGGGGGTGGTGGTCGACAGGTAAGCTGGGATGGTGGTCGACAGGTAAGCTGGGATGGTGGTCGACAGGTAAGCTGGGGGTGGTGGTCGACAGGTAAGCTGGGATGGTGGTCGACAGGTAAGCTGGGGTGGTGGTCGACAGGTAAGCTGGGGTGGTGGTCGACAGGTAAGCTGGGGGTGGTGGTCGACAGGTAAGCTGGGATGGTGGTCGACAGGTAAGCTGGGATGGTGGTCGACAGGTAAGCTAGGGTGGTGGTCGACAGGTAAGCTGGGGTGGTGGTCGACAGGTAAGCTGGGGTGGTGGTCGACAGGTAAGCTGGGGTGGTGGTCGACAGGTAAGCTGGGGGTGGTGGTCGACAGGTAAGCTGGGGGTGGTGGTCGACAGGTAAGCTGGGGGTGGTGGTCGACAGGTAAGCTGGGGGTGGTGGTCGACAAGCAGGGGGTGGTGGTCGACAGGTAAGCTGGGGGTGGTGGTCGACAGGTAAGCAGGGGGTGGTGGTCGACAGGTAAGCTGGGGTGGTGGTCGACAGGTAAGCTGGGGTGGTGGTCGACAGGTAAGCTGGGATGGTGGTCGACAGGTAAGCTGGGGGTGGTGGTCGACAGGTAAGCTGGGGGTGGTGGTCGACAGGTAAGCTGGGATGGTGGTCGACAGGTAAGCTGGGGGTGGTGGTCGACAGGTAAGCTGGGATGGTGGTCGACAGGTAAGCTGGGATGGTGGTCGACAGGTAAGCTGGGGGTGGTGGTCGACAGGTAAGCTGGGATGGTGGTCGACAGGTAAGCTGGGGTGGTGGTCGACAGGTAAGCTGGGGTGGTGGTCGACAGGTAAGCTGGGGGTGGTGGTCGACAGGTAAGCTGGGATGGTGGTCGACAGGTAAGCTGGGATGGTGGTCGACAGGTAAGCTGGGGGTGGTGGTCGACAGGTAAGCTGGGATGGTGGTCGACAGGTAAGCTGGGGTGGTGGTCGACAGGTAAGCTGGGGTGGTGGTCGACAGGTAAGCTGGGGGTGGTGGTCGACAGGTAAGCTGGGATGGTGGTCGACAGGTAAGCTGGGGGTGGTGGTCGACAGGTAAGCTGGGATGGTGGTCGACAGGTAAGCTGGGATGGTGGTCGACAGGTAAGCTGGGGGTGGTGGTCGACAGGTAAGCTGGGATGGTGGTCGACAGGTAAGCTGGGGTGGTGGTCGACAGGTAAGCTGGGGTGGTGGTCGACAGGTAAGCTGGGGGTGGTGGTCGACAGGTAAGCTGGGATGGTGGTCGACAGGAAAGCTGGGATGGTGGTCGACAGGTAAGCTAGGGTGGTGGTCGACAGGTAAGCTGGGGTGGTGGTCGACAGGTAAGCTGGGGGTGGTGGTCGACAGGTAAGCTGGGGTGGTGGTCGACAGGTAAGCTGGGGGTGGTGGTCGACAGGTAAGCTGGGGGTGGTGGTCGACAGGTAAGCTGGGGGTGGTGGTCGACAGGTAAGCGGGGGGTGGTGGTCGACAGGTAAGCTGGGGTGGTGGTCGACAGGTAAGCGGGGGTGGTGGTCGACAGGTAAGCTGGGGGTGGTGGTCGACAGGTAAGCTGGGGGTGGTGGTCGACAGGTAAGCTGGGGTGGTGGTCGACAGGTAAGCTGGGGGTGGTGGTCGACAGGTAAGCTGGGGTGGTGGTCGACAGGTAAGCTGGGGGTGGTGGTCGACAGGTAAGCTGGGGGTGGTGGACGACAGGAAAGCTGGGTGTGGTGGTCGACAGGTAAGCTGGGGGTGGTGGTCGACAGGTAAGCTGGGATGGTGGTCGACAGGTAAGCTGGGGTGGTGGTCGACAGGTAAGCTGGGGTGGTGGTCGACAGGTAAGCTGGGGGTGGTGGTCGACAGGTAAGCTGGGGTGGTGGTCGACAGGTAAGCTGGGGGTGGTGGTCGACAGGTAAGCTGGGGGTGGTGGTCGACAGGTAAGCTGGGGGTGGTGGTCGACAGGTAAGCTGGGGGTGGTGGTCGACAGGTAAGCTGGGGGTGGTGGTCGACAGGTAAGCTGGGGGTGGTGGTCGACAGGTAAGCTGGGGGTGGTGGTCGACAGGTAAGCTGGGGTGGTGGTCGACAGGTAAGCTGGGGGTGGTGGTCGACAGGTAAGCTGGGGTGGTGGTCGACAGGTAAGCTGGGGGTGGTGGTCGACAGGTAAGCTGGGGGTGGTGGTCGACAGGTAAACTGGGGTGGTGGTCGACAGGTAAGCTGGGGTGGTGGTCGACAGGTAAGCTGGGGGTGGTGGTCGACAGGTAAGCTGGGGTGGTGGTCGACAGGTAAGCTGGGGGTGGTGGTCGACAGGTAAGCTGGGGGTGGTGGTCGACAGGTAAACTGGGGTGGTGGTCGACAGGTAAGCTGGGGTGGTGGTCGA